GGGGGGGGGGGGGAGGGACCCCGCACATCTACAATGAGCAAGAACAAACCCTGGCCGAACCAAACTGCAGCCAAGTGGCAGATACTCTTTCTTGCTGCCTCGCAGAACCCAGCGCACATGCCCTTGTTCGGGGCCACCTCGCAGGATGGCATCGAGGTGGTTCAGACATCCTTTCAGCTTTTCCGGCAGCTTGGACATGTAAATGTTGTGCGGCTGGGCGTATGCTGCCCCAAGCCTGATGATCGGGGAGGGGACAGAGGCGTCCTGTCGGTTGGCAAGTAGACTCGGCCATTGCCCACTGGCGACATACCCGCCAAGCACGCGAGTCGCCAGGATGATTGAAACCTCCTTCCAACACTCTCCCTGGGCGTCGGCCGCAGGAATCTCGACGCCATTCTGGGGCCCCAAAACCTTTTGGAAGGTTTCCGGCTCCACGCACACCCACACGAGCCGCTTGCAGTCCATGGCAACCTCCTGGCTTACGCCATTCAAGAACTCCGAGGCACTGTAGAACACAGAACCTGCAAACGAAGATACCCGGGCCAGCTGCTTCTTCGCACGCGTCTTCAAATGGACACAGGAACCGAGGATGACGAATGTGCAGGGTCCCGGGGCTAGTTCTTCCAACTGCTCGTGCAATTGTCTCATCTCTATCCTCTGGAGCTTCTCTTTGTCCTTTAGCACGTTCCTTTCATGCTCTGACAACTTGGCGGCAATGCCATGACCGGGACCATGAACGAAGTCCTGTTTGAGCTCCGCAGCTTTTGCCTGAAGTATTGCCCGCAGCTTCTCTTGCTTAGGAGAGGCACGCCGTCTTGCTGCGGAGTCAACGACTTGCTGAAGGTCTTCCAGACCTTCCTCGGCATCTGGCTGCTGCAGCGAACGCCGCTGTGCGTCCCGCTGTCTCTGGAAAGACGCCAAGCCCTTGGATTTCAGCCTCGAGCAGAAGGACTTTCGTGGAAGTCGGTCCCGTCTCGTGTTCCGACCTTGCCCACCATAAAGCTTCCGGTACTTGTCCAGGATTTTGAAACCAAGACTGGATGGCTGGTAATTGCCCTTTGAGAAAAAAACCACCTTGTCCAGGTCCGGGCAGTCGCAGAAGACTTTCAGATAGCAATTCCTGTTTTCCTCTGACATACTGGCCTTGATGGAGCCTGCAAGACGGAGAACCGCCACAATCGCTTGCGCACAACTCAACGAGCATCGAACATGAACATGCGCCTGAAAACAGCCGCAGTGTGCTAAAGCTGGTCTCGATCTCCGAAGTGGCATCGAAGATTGCTAGCATGAAGCGAACCTGAGAACTCTGAAAATACCACGCGCACACACGCACAAACACACGCCCGTGCTCCAAGGAAATGCCATGTCACAGACTGTGGTCTCAGTGAAGGACGGCAGCTTTCAGTGATTTCAACCGATCAAAGCGCTGCATAGTCGTGGGCCAGTAGGCTCTCTCAGACCTGCGCACCACCCAACCCGCCTGCTCCACCTCACGCGCTAAACCTCTACTACCATATCTCGGCCAGCGCCTGGCAAGAAAGACCGCCGTGGGTCGTGCGACGAGGTACTCTTCGCGCAGCACGTGTGTGTCCAGCTGCAGCAGCTTGGCCAAAGGATCCAACACCTCGGGCCTTAGTGCGTGCAGGCTCGCGCAAGGCGCCACCGGCCAGGGAATGAGAGCAAGTTTGCCATTGCCGACTGACGAGGAACAGGGTGGAGTCTGATCTGTTGGCCGTCCACCAGACCACGTCGAAGGGGCTCAGAGCAGACCCAACACCAGCTTGATGCCAAGTCTCCACGGACTCGAGAAACAAGTCCGACACGTTCTTGATGGACCCCAATTCGGGCGCCAGCAGAGCAGCATACTCTTCGTCGGGCACGCCTGCGGTTTAGTTGAGGGTTTGGGGTTTAGGGTTTAAGAGTTTAGGGTTTAGGGTCTAGGGTCTAGGGTTTAGGGTTCGCGAGCCTTCAGAGTGAAACAATAGGCGACCATCCTGGTACACGGCAATGTCCGAGCTGCTGCCTTGGGCAGCTTATTATCATGCGAATTGCAGACGCCCAAGCGTTCTCACAGCAAGAAGTTTTCTTATCATTGTAGGCTAAGATGCTCAAAGCTTTCATCTGCTGCTCGGCTATCTGAAGGTACCCGGACGTGTAATTGCTATTGAGAACCAGAGGCCGTTGGGCGGTGGAGCCGTCCAAGGACTTGAAGGCAAAGGTGCGATTGAGATCCTGTGTGAACCCAAGCAGTAATTCATTGGAACGCAGCATCCGCACAAGTGAGTCTACAGCGTCCTGCTTCAGATTCTCGCACAACCTGGAGCAGTTGGATATGCGAGCTGTGGAAGAGGTCGGCGCGGACTCTGACTTTGCGGCGCCCCTGTCGTACTCATGAACGAATGGAGACACCAAGCTGAGCCACTCCGTCGTCAGTGCAAGCAGCCGAATGTTGCTGGGCGTCAGTACCTCGCCGTCAGAGTCATGTTCCCGGACAGAGCCCTAGTACTACGGACAAACAAGAGCCAACCGGCATACATCATACGCTGTCAGGTTGCAGCTAGAAGTTTCACAGCCCACGCTGATTTATCGTTCTTCAATGCTGCCAGGTCCAAGAGAAATCGAACAACCGAAGAGATGCACAATATCAATTTCTGCAGACAGTTCGTGCAACTGTCAAACCTTTGAGCCGCGTAATGAGCGCTCATCTGCGGACCCAGAACACAATCAAGCTGGGATTGCACCTTCTCGCTGAACTGTGCTAACAACTTGTGAGAGTTGCCAATGGCCCTGCAGAAACCGCCCGGGTCCTTGCTGTTTTGTGACGACAAACGCATAACGAACTCATCTAGCAGGATTTTGATGTTCCCGTCGCTCTTCAGGGAGTTTTCCAAGCTTCGCTGCGCCGAGTGCAGCCGGCATCTTGTGGACAGCTTCAAGGAAGGCAACACACCCTTGGCCTTGGCTGCGAGGCTGGTACACGCTGCTGGCGGTGAACCGCTTCCATCTGAGCCTGTGGCGGCAGCAAAGCGCCCAGCCAGTCCCTCAGCTTTTTCGCCATCCACAGTGTACACCTGCAAAGGTGCGCGCATGGCCCACAGAACTGCAGGAGACCCTGGACTTCGGTCCTGGAAGAGCTTTGCGAAGGACTCATGGTTGTCCGGGCTGAACTTCTGCAAAACTCTCCCCATGTGCTCCACTTTTCCGAGCGAGGGCACGGTATTGCACGTGTTCTGCGCAAGCAACATTACTATTGACATGCCTGCCTTGACGCCGTGGCACTTTGAGAGCGCCAACATGCGGTGATGAACCTGGCTTCGACGCCTACCAATTATTCACATACAACTGCAACAAGTATGCCACTGAACAGCGGCGCCTGGTACTTGTGGTCCACAAGTCTCATCTTCACACACAAGGAATCTTTGCTGACGTCCTGACCCACAGGACGTCAGCCTGTGACCAGCCTCTGACTGTTTCTCAGCACAGCGTTCAGACTCAACCGCCTCGGCCCAGCCAGCGGACTTGCACTTCGCGGCCAGCCTGCGGTCCTGAATCAGCACGCAAGCCCAAATGAGACACACACACACACACACAGAGACACACACACACACACAGAGACACACACACACACACACAGAGACACACACACACACACACACACACACACCCACCCACCCACCCACCCACCCACCCACGCACGCACGCACGCACGCACGCAAGCACGCCCGCCCGCCCGCCCGCCCGCCCACCCACCCACACACACACACACACACGTCTACGCAACGGGCCACTGCCGGGCCTCGTCCCACAGCACCTCTGCAACTGTCCTGATGATTCGCGCGTGCTCGGTCGCGCAGGAGCGACCCGCAGGAAAGTTCCTGCAATCGGCTCGCCCCGCCAGTTCGCACCGAGCTTCGTAGGACCTACCCTGCGCGCTGCTAGGCATCCGCAGGACTTCAAGCGCCAGGCGCACTTGCGCTGGTGTCGGCACTGCCTTGTCCTCCTCGCTCCCCCCGGGCGATGCAGCTGGCTGTCCCAGCTTCTCCAAGCTCCGAATGTGCCCATCCGACTCTCCGTGACGCCGAAGATCCTCCAGCTGCAGCATACCCCCGAACCGGGTCATAGGCACCTCGCACAGAGATATAAAGCAAGGAGGAGCGAGTCCAAAGCCGTGCGACACATTTCCTAAAGTAGCGCATGTCGTTTTAGTGACCAAAACCGCGCGACACATTTCCTAAAGTAGTTAGTGTCGTTTTGAGTGACCAAAACCGGGCGACACATTTCCTAAAGTAGTTAGTGTCGTTTGAGTGACCAAAACCGGGCGCCACTTTTCCTAAAGTAGTTTGTGTCGTTTTAGTGAGCAAAGCCGGGCGACACATTTCCTAAAGTTGTTTGTGTCGTTTTAGTGACCAAAGCCGGGCGACACATTTCCTAAAGTAGTTTGTGTCGTTTGAGTGATCCAAGCCGGGCGACACATTTCCTAAAGTAGTTCGTGTCGTTTTAGTGACCAAAGCCGGGCGACACATTTCCTGAAGTAGTTTCTGTCGTTTTAGTGACCAAAGCCGGGCGACACATTTCCTAAAGTTGTTTCTGTCGTTTTAGTGACCAAAGCCGGGCGACACATTTCCTAAAGTTGTTAGTAGTCGTGTTGTATTACAATTTACCTTTGTTTAATCTCTCTCTCTGTCTGTCTGTCTCCCTTGCTATGCTTTTGTGGAAAGAACAAAAAGATGCAGAAACACCCTTCCGAAAGACAGCACACACCTCGTATTGGGCTGCACCCTTCTTCATTTGGACAAAGGCCGATCCAGATGCAGCCGGGTTGTCACAAGCATCTCTGCAAACTGCGCACCCCAATCCCCATGGCTTGTTGCTGTCGCTCTCCACCAGCCACGTGGCGGTGCCCCCGGAGCTGGTAGAATAAACAAGTTTCTTTTGCCAGGAAGCAGCATGCTTGATGTACTTGCAGCGGTTGCACCGCTTGATGCACAGCTTTGCCTCAGGTTTCGTAGCGTTACAACTGAAAATGCCACATTAACTTAGAACCCGAGACCAGTACACTCCCGTGCTTCTCCAGACATCTCTTCGCATGTGCACCTGCAGGTGCACCGGACGTGCAAACAAGTATCAATAAAAGCAAGGCTTCAACTCGAGCTTTACTGACCTTACCCGCGCCTTCTGGACTGTGACCCCGCACAGATGCCATCTCGCTGAGGTCACGGAATCAGGTGTCTCAACGTATGAAAGGTCCAATGTTAATTGCATAAGCGCCACATTAGAAGCGTTTTGTCGCAGCTTCTGGTTTAGGGTTTAGGTTTCCGGGTTTATATGATAAGGTTCCCATGTAGTTCAGGCATTCGAGGGTTACAAGAGAAGCCTTGCACATGGCTTTGGAATTCTGGGACCCCAGCGGCTTCAGTAGACTCGCGCTCAGGGAAGCTAAGTTGGCGATCACCCTAAACCCTAAACCCTAGACCCTAAACCCCTAAACCCTAAACCCTAAACCCTAAACCCTAAACCCTAAACCCGACAAGACCCAAGGGCCTCAATCCCGTGGGCCTGCTGATGGAGTGGCGACCTGCCGGAGGGCCTGCTAACGCAGCGGCGACCTGCCGGAGGGAGCTCTTGTGGGCACGAGGGTTAAGGGCTCCAAAGAGTTCGGGCTTGGGGTTGAGGTTCTTTTGTTAGGGCTGCGTGAGGAGCTACACTCGAAAGGGTTGGAGTTTAGCCAGGGCTAACCGAACCCAATCCCTAGACCCTTTAAACCCTAAACCTTCAAGGCCAGGAAAAAGAGATATCGTATGCGTTTCATTACGAGCAGCTCACACAATAACCCCTTCATCCTTCACAGTGTAAGACCCCATCAGACAAAAGCATGGCTTTCAGGCACCAAACAAGCCCCTGAATGGTGAAAGACAAGCCCCTACAGCTCCCAGCCCCAATCCTTCAGGCCCCCCCAGCCTCCCAGTCCCCCCCCCCACCCCCCCCCACCCCCCCAGCCCCACCCGACAAAACCTCCCCAAATTTCAGCAAAAGCAAGAAACAAAACCCGGCAAATCCCGACAAAACTCCGGACACAAACTAAATACAATTTCTATAAACCCCTAAACCTCCTGACAAGACCCAAGGGCCTCAATCCCGTGGGCCTGCTGATGGAGCGGCTGCTGACGCAGCGGCGACCTGCCGGAGGGAGCTCTTGTGGGCTCGAGGGTTAAGGGCTCCAAAGAGTTCGGGCTTGGGGTTGAGGTTCTTTTGTTAGGGTTGCGTGAGGAGCTACACTCGAAAGGGTTCGAATTTAGCCAGGGCTAACCCTAAAACCAAAAACCCAATCCCTAGACCCTTTAAACCCTAAACCCTTTCAAGTTTAAACCCCAAACCCTGAAGGCTATAAGACCTCTGATTGGTGCGGTTATTACAATTATATTTAGTTTCAAGGGTGAGCGCCTCGGGTCTTGGGGTTAGCGCTTGGCATTCATGTTGGGTTTATCTGTGTCCAAGGCAGGAAGAACGACAGGTCCTCTAGGCCAGCCCTAGTACTGTTACTGCTGGCACAACTTCTGCTGCAGCGGGCGATTCTTCAAGAACTCCTCAACCAGCATTCTGCTGTCAGACACATGCCGCATGAACAAGTGACACACATAACGAGTATCCTGGGGCATCGAGCTCATGGCTGGAACACGCTTGTCAAGCTCCTGGAAATCAGACACCGTCGCATCAAAACTCCAAATCTGTTCCATGTCTGTAAAGGGATGTGTGCCAGCGAAGCATTCCATCAGTGTGACCCCGTATGCCCAACTCTCTGACCGTCTGGATGGAGTTGCACCTCGCCAGACCTCCGGTGGTCGGTAGAGCCCAGTGTACGCGGCCGTGTCCTGTGATTGCGCTGCCAGCGCAGCCTCCGCCTGACACAAGGTCAGTCTTCCAAGCTTCAGGGTGCAATCCTGCTCGTTCCAGAATGCCGCATGCGGCCTCAAGTCCAGGTGCAAGAGTTGCAGTCCGTGCAGCTGCGTCACCGCGAGCGCCAACTGCGCAGCCATTGCCTGCAGCTTGTGGCCCCTCAGCGGACCAGATCTTGTCAGCACGTCGCTCAGCCGAGGCAACTTCTCAAAGACGATGCATTTCACCGGATCGTTGCAAATGATGGCCTGCTGCACACGCAAGAAGACATCACAATTCCATGCATCGTTTTCTTCCGCCCGCCAGAGCTGCTGCAAGATGCCTACTTCATGTCGGAAGTCCGCCTGAGACTCATAAACCACTGCAGCAGATTCGAAACGAAGATCCTTGTGCAGTGCAGCATAGGCAGCCACGGACGTTCCTCTCCACAAGACCGTGTCCAGGAGCTCATACTCGCCTATGCTTGAGCCAGGTCCATGCTGAGGTTGGCCGTTCGCCCCTCCAGACATGAGTTGCTCCTTCGCTCGAGCAAACGCGGCTTCCTCCTCCTTGGCCCTCTTCTGGTATGGCTCTTGGCCCTTTTTGCCCAAGCGCTTCCACTCGTCTCCGATGCGGTCGAATGCCAGACGTTGTGGACGTTTCTGATCTGCTGACCCCGAGGCCTCTTGCTCTCGCTTGACATCGTCCTGAATCCGTGCGTACTGCTCTGACACGAAGATTGCATAAGGTGTTCTTTTTTTCGGAAGAAACTGTTTGACAGCCTTGTCGGCGGCCTTTTTGGCAGCCTTTTTCGCAGCAGCAGATTCCGGCTTTTTTGGAGAGGCCGGGTCAGATTTAGACCCCTTGGGTGGCATGGCAGCGAAGAAGATGGCCGATCTAGGCAGCCACCATGTTTCTTCTACGACAATTGCAAGACAGGAGTTCTCTGTATGAAAGGTCCACTGTTAATTGCATAAGCACCACATTAGAAGCGTTTTGTCGCAGCTTCTGGTTTAGGGTTTAGGTTTCCGGGTTTATATGATAAGGTTTCCATGTAGTTTAGGCAGTCGAGGGTTACAAGAGAAGCCTTGCACATGGCTTTGAAATTCCCCCAGCGGCTTGAGTAGCAGAGTCATGCTGAGGGAAGTTTAGTTGGCGATCACCCTAACCCCTAAACCCTAAACCCTAAACCCGACAAGACCCAAGGGCCACAATCCCGCGGGCCTGCTGATGGAGTGGCGACCTGCCGGACGGCCCGCTGATGCAGCGGCGACCTTTAGGATGTCATTATGAAAGCCCGAGGCACCGCAAACCTCTTACAACCAATTGCTATCGACCCTTTGGCCTTAAAACAAAAACTCAACCCCAAACTCTAAGCTTGAGTGACCGCCCGCCAAACATACCCCGAAACATACCCTGAATCATAGCCTTAGAGTTAAGGTTTGGGTTTTCTATTTAAAAGTTCCCTCTGCCCTAAACCAAAACACTACTGGTTCCAGTTATAGGGTCTGCCGGTCGTTTGGGGGGTTTAGGGCTTAGGGTTTAGGGTTTAGGATTTAGGGGTTAGGGTTTGGCTTAAATTCGGCTGGGGGCTATTAGGGCTAAGACCCTCGAATCCTGAGACCCTGAGACCCCAACATCCTAAGGCCCCAAGATCCCCAACGCCAGACCTCAACCCTTATGACCCGACGAGGTGCGCCATCCTGCGCTGGGTCCGACGACCTGCGAAGAACTCCGCCACGATGTATCTGCCGAGGGAGTTTAGGGTTTCGGGTTAGGGTTTAGGGTTTCGGGGTTTGGGTCCCTAAGCCCTGGCCCGAAACCCTTAAGACTCTCAACTCCGCAGGATTCAGGTCGCTCCTTTGTAGGGGGGGGGGGTTTGTTGGGAGGGCTTTCATGAAGGGCTTTGGGTTTCGGACGGTCTAGGGTTTAGGGCTTAGGAGGGTTTAGGGTTTAGGTTTGTTCCTGGCGTGACTTTTCAAAGAAGTTGCAAAAGGACCCCCAAACCTTCCAACGGCCCCCCCCCCCACCACCCCAACCCTGGCACCCGCAGAAACCCTGGACAGGGTTTAGGGCACCTTACAAAGGGCTTGGGGGTTTAAAGTACATAATTCTGCGGGGTTCCCTGGACAGGGTTTAGGGCACCTTACAAAGGGCTTGGGGGTTTGAAGTACACAATTCTGCAGGGTTCAAGAATTTTAGTTTAGGGTTCTAGCTCCGAAACCCTAGACCCAATACCTCAAACCCGACATTAAAACCTGCAGGGTTTTGGGTTTAAATTAGACCTCCCCGTCAAACCCCTGGAAAACCTAAACCCCTAGGGAGGGCAGCGACCTGAACGGTCACCACACCCCCCGGCAGCTGCCTGATCGGCAACCACGCACCCTAAACCCTATAAACCCAAAACCACACCTCCCGGCGTCTAGGTGGATCCCAGACCAATTAACTGAAACACACACCGAGCCCTACATTTCAACTCCTAAACCTAAACCCGAAACCCTAGAAGGCGGCAGCGCGGGGGCGAGCTCCTTGTGCCTAAACCCTGACTAAACCCTCAGCCAAAATCCTAAAAACCTCCAACCCTTGTCAACCGGATGGCGATGGCAGCTAAACCCTACACCGAACCCTTGCCCCTGACCCCTTCACCGCACCCGGGCTGCGGTGCCTGGGCTGCGGTGCCTGGATGCCTCTGGGCTGAAGCACTGTGCGAAGTTATTACGTCTACATTTGAGATTAAAACGAACTAGATCCTAGTGTAAGACACGATTTAGCGCATTATATCTAAGTTTTAGATCAAAACAATATAAATCCTAGTTCAAAATCAATTATCTTTGACAATGCAGATATTGTCAATACCCACGCTGCACCTGAATGCTTGTTCCAGGTAAGGTTGTTTAAAGCCCCACGTCTCCTGTAGCTACGAGGTTTATGTTTACGTTGAAATCAGAACGATTTGAATTCTGTCCGTCAGGATGTAAATTATTTTATCTAAGATTTAGATCAAAGTAAGATAGAGCCTGGTCTAAATGTGGGATTTAGCTGGTTAATCTAGAATCTATATAAAATTGATCTAAATGCTGGTCTAAATTTAGGATTCAGCTTGCTGATGTAGAATCTATATGAAACTTATCTAGATCCTAGTCTAAAGTCAGGATTCAGCTTTTTGATCTAGAATCTATTTAAAATTGATCTAGATATTAGTCTAGAGTTAGGATTCAGCCCATTATGGATCTAACGCTAGATTGAATGCTTGCTTGGTGGAAAGGGAAACCCTGCGCAGCACACCAATGACAGCCTGAACCCTAAACCTTGAACCCTAAACCTTGGGCC